GTGCTGATGACATGCTGCCCAGTGCTGACGACATGCTGCCCAGTGCTGACGACATGCTGCCCAGTGCTGATGACATGCTGCAAAGGCATGCTGCCCAGTGCTGACATGCTGCCCAGTGCTGACGTCACACCCCTACAGGTGATCCAGGCGACGATGGTGCGCGACCGTCAGCACGGCCCCATCGTGGAGCTCAACCGCCTGCTGGTGAAGAGGTCGAAGAGGGGCGGCGCCGCGGGGACGGGGGCGGCGGGGGACGGCGGACGCACCGTCCTGGGGCAGATGGTCGCCAAGATGTCGTCCCTGACGCAGGACGCCTTGTTCCTCCCCCACAGGGTCTGGAAGGTCAAGTTCGTGGGTGAGTTCCATCCTACTGCCATATTTTCTTCATAAAAGTTCTACATTTTTAATACTTTCTACTATAAACTTATGATATTTGCAGGGTTAACAATTCAAGGATACATTTTTTTAATTAGCTGTAAGTTGTTTTATTTATAACAAGATTTATTCGCGACTGAAGGATATCTACTCCATTGCATGAACATTGTATGCTCTATACATTTTTTTGTCATTGTATGCATTGTGCATTTTTGACCTCTTTTAACATATTTAATTCAATTTGCAATCATTCGTGTCCATACGCAAAGCAATACGGTAATTACCGAGTTTTTTTTGCCTACTTTGTTTCACAATCATTCCTTAATCAATTCCATTCAACCTTTCATTCAATTAAATTCTTTCATCACTTTTGAGTTATTCTTCATTGTTAAACAAATTTTAAATTCTAGCCCCCCGGTAACCAAGCTTCCCCCCCCCCACAGGGGAGAGCCCAAATCCCCAAATTCCCCCCAAGGGAGTGCCCAAATCCATAAATTCTTGCCCCCGGTTACTAAACTTCCCCCTCCCCAAGACTAGAGTGGGTCACGTGATCCTAGAGTGGGTCACGTGATCCTAGACTGGGTCACGTGATCCTAGAGTGGGTCACGTGATCCTAGAGTGGGTCACGATATCCTAGAGTGGGTCACATGGCAACACTCAATTTGTATGTAGCGTTTTAACTACCGTATTAGGTACACGCTGTGGAATTAGGGAGTCTTTGTCCGAATGTCGATGCAGTTTTTGTCCCATGTGTGGGTCATCCTGACCCAATTTGGCCCGACAGAAGGGCGTATCGGTGTTAATTCATTTTTTTGCACGTGTCTGTCCGTCCTTCCGTGACTTCACGTTTTCTTCGACGAGAAAATGCGCTCTCTGTCACTCACTGCAGTGAGTACTGAGTTATATTTTTTATAAGTGTACATAATAAAACGATAAATACTTATATATTTGTTGTAATCTACCAGTATATATGATGAACAAGAGCATTCATAAATCAATGATACTGACCATTAATGTCATTAATGTGCATGGCTAAAGAAACCTAAATATTTTTTACAAAATATTATTTTGTAACTTCCGCTGGTGCAAAATATTATTTTGTAACTGTAAAGCATTTGAAATCAATATTCAAAACTTATTGCAATAAAAAGAACTGCTGTTGTACTTCAACAAAGGTGCCCATCGTTGTTGCATTGTAGAATTGCATTAAAAAAATAACTTCAGCTGAACTTCACCAAAAGTTCCTGTCGTTATTGCATCGTCAATTATTTCAAAGAAATAAATAAAATAAAATGTATGGCGGGCGCGTGTCGTGAGTTCCTATCGTTATTGCATATCGTAAATTATTACAAAGAAATAAATGAAATAAATAAATGTCAGGTGACAATGTTGATACCATTCGTCCCTGGATATTTCCTGATTGATGTCTTCCTTGTTGAAAGATAAGATCCTTCACATGCGATATGTTCATAAGCATTTCCTTGTATTAGCCTTTCCTGTTTATCAAGTCACGCCCTTGTGACGTCAAATAGCGAAACTATAAAAGCTCTGTCTCAAGCGATCAACTTCAGTCTTGGGCCGAGAACAGTCGTGTATAAGCCCTTAATCCTGTCCGTATCCATTAGGACAGTAACCCTAAATTAATGTCAGACTTATCCATACTTCAACTGGACTCCGAAGACATCATTGTTAAAGCTCCAACTAATAAACTTAGATTATCCTAAATTTTAAGCCGAACTATAATCCTAAAAGTATATTATGCAATCGTTTACGCTGTTCCAGATCTATATATCCTCGGATCCCGATACGTATGAACTATTCTCAGGTAATTCTTAATTACCATTCATATAAGAGATGCATAGAAAAGTAACCTGTTACTTAAAATAAATGGCTAACGTGTCCAGGTATGCTGATGGGCATCGCGGTGCGGACGGGCAGCCCCCTGAGCCTGAACCTGGCGGAGCCCGTGTGGCGGCAGCTGGCGGGCATGGCGCTCACCCCCGCCGACGTTACTGAGGTTATTTTGTGCTCTCTACCCCAAACAAACGGCGGGTGTACAGTAATAATGTCCTGTGTAATATAGCTGACGTCACCGAGGTTATTTTGATGTAGAAGCGGCGGGTGTACAGTAATAACGTCCTGTGTAATATAGCCGACGTCAATAAGGTGACTTTGGCTATGATAACGCTCTAAAATAAAAGTACTAAATAATAATATTTGAATAATAATAATGCACTAGTAAAACTGTTGTACGGTAGAAATGTGGAAGTTAAAATCTAATATGTGTGGTAAAAATAATCTATCGTGAAATAAAATTAAAATACAAGCCAAACGTCATGGATATTTTCCATATCTTCAATGAGAGCGTTACGAAGACCATCTTCAGCTTTATCAGTTCAAAGATTTGTGAAATGTATATACCATCAATAGAGAAAACCTGAATGATCAATTGTTATTGCAGAATAATCTGTTGTTATTGCTGAATGATCTATTGTTGTTACTAAATGATCTATTGATATTGCTGAATGATCTATTGATATTGCTGAATGATCAATTGATATTGCTGAATGATCTATTGATATTGCTGAATGATCTATTGATATTGCTGAATGATCTATTGATATTGCTGAATGATCTATTGATATTGCTGAATGATCTATTGATATTGCTGAATGATCTATTGATATTGCTGAATGATCTATTGTTGTTACTGAATGATCTATTGTTATTGCTGAATGATTTGTTGTTGTTACTGAATGATCTATTGTTATTGCTGAATGATTTGTTGTTGTTACTGAATGATCTATTGTTTTTACTGAATGATCTTGTTTTTAATAAATGATCTTGTTTTTAATAAATGATCTAATTTCGTCGCTAAATGATGTATTTTCCTACACCGTGTTGCTGATCTATTGCTACAAGTGTGGTCCCCCATGTGTGGTCCCCCATTACAAGTGTAGCTCACTGTCCCCCATGACCCCAGGTTGACCGGCACTACATGCCGGCGTTGCTGTGCGTCCAGCAGATGGGGGAGCCTGCTGCTGCTGCTGCTGCTGCTGCTGGGGCAAACAAAAACACTTCAGAAGATCCTGGTCTTTCTGCTGGGGATCCTGTAGGAGGTGAAGGATCCTCTCTTGCCTCCTTAGACCTGCCCTTCACCACGACCTCTGCTGCAGGTCATCAGGTCGCGCTCTCCCACAAGCACACAAGGATCACCCTGCAAAATAAGGACATCTACGTGCAAATGGCGCTGAATTATAGGTGTGAATTTAGCTACAACAAACTTATCATTTAGATTATGTTAATAGCCTGAAGAATAATTAATATATTTTTTTCGAATGTCTATCATGAGAAATAATTAATATATTTTTTTTAAATATGTATCATGAGGAATAATTAATATATTGTGTAAAATATGTCAAGCAAGCCATTCAACAAGGAAATGTAAATTGTAGTTTTCTTGTTGACTCCAGGAACATACGAAAATATTTAGTGATGAACTGCTTTATTTCAAGTGGTGCTATTTTTTTTATTAGACACCTCTGATTAATTAGTCATAGGTGAGTCACCTCTGATTATTAGTTAATTAATTATTTAATCAATTAAGTACTTGAAATTAATAATAATTAATTATTATTTTAAATATTTTTTAAAATTCATTTTTCCAATTAATTATTTTAATTAATTACCTTTGCTTTATTTGAAGGCTGCACGAGTTCGACGTGGCGGTTGAGTGCGTGAGGGCGGGTATGGCGCGCGTCATCCCTCTGCCTCTGGTCGCCCTCTTCACGCCCTACGAGCTGGAGACGATGGTATGCGGCTCCCCTGACATCCCGCTCACCCTGCTCAAGAGTGTTGCTACCTACAAGGGTGAGTGCACCCTACAAGGGCGAACAAAGAGTAAGCGTCGCCTCAAGTTCAACTCCCAGTGAACCTAAATTTTGTGCCAATTTCCTAGCTTTTAAATTCATTCAAATATTATCATTGACACAATCAAATAATGAAGAATTGAGACACTTCCTAGAATTGATGCACTTCCTAGAATTGAGACACTTCCTAGACACACTTCCTAGAATTGGGACACTTCCTAGCACTGATGCACTTTGAGAAAAGCGAGATTTTGTCCCATAAACGATGCATTTTTGCCTTTGTTGCTGGTCATCCTGGACTAGTTTAGCCCTTCTAGTAAAAATTGCATAAATAAAGTGAAGATTGAACATTATGACCCATATTTTTATATATTTTACGCTCGATAGTGAACAACCGCGCGGATAGAATCTATATGAAACTTTAAATCGCTCTAACAATTATATATGTATTAGAGATTCAGATAAGTAAATAGTTTTTGTACATGTATAAACGATTGTGAATGCACGGCAAGGCCTTGACTTCCGAATGATCATTTGATTGCCCGCTTGTGTGTTGGCGTGTTTTTAATCTTGAATTTTTTTAAGATGGAAACGTGGTTAAGAGAATTTTCCATCAATTGATTGATAAAAAAAATTCTTTTCTATATGAAATTTTTCCAACTTTTTCTGACATATTATTATCTATTCAAATTTGTCAACTTTCGTTCATAATTTTGTTAAATACCCAAAAAGTACGAATTAGACTTCATTGTTCATTGATTATGGACTTCTTCTAATAATAATCTTGTGCATTGATGATGCACTTATAATATTATTATAATAATCTTTTGCACTGATTATGGACTTATAATATTATTATAATAATCTTATGCATTGATAATGGACTTATTATATTTTTATAATAATCTTATCCCTTGTGTCAGGTTCTGGACAAGTACCACCCGCCTGACATGTTCCTGCCGGAGTCCTACACTTGTTTCTTCCTGCTGAAGATGCCACAATATTCCTGCAAGGCCGTCCTCCGCGAGAAGCTCAAGTACGCCATCCACTTCTGCAAGAGCATCGACACCGACGACTACGCCAGAGTAGCCATGGCGGGCGGCAGGTCTGGTGCAGTTGCTGAAGGAGGGCCACCAGGGGCATCAGACACTGACACGGACGACTGGGACAGCATCGCCAGCGAGGAGTCGCCCCCCGAGGGACCTTTCTCGTCCTGGGCCTGGAACGCCAACAATAGGGAACGATAATCCAAAAGGATTGGATATGAGTACGCATTGTTCTAGGATCGGAAATAAGGTTCTGGATACTAGAACTGCATCGTCACTCTTCTTTCAAAACTTAGCAGGTACATAAGATGAAATAAACATTGTTTTGTCCTCATTATACCAAATAAATCTACACCCATTTGATGTGACATCGTTGCACCACACCGCTGGTCTGCGTTCTGACCGGGTACGGCTGGGATCCACAAGCCCAAGACTGGCCGCCCAAGCCTCCATTAATAATCTAATAATAAATAAAGAAATGACAGTGAAGTAATGGTAATTGTGACCAAAAAATTATTGCCGTTCACCTCAAAATGGACAAGTTATATGCACAGGTAACTTATTACTTAATTATCAATTGATATTAGCAGTTGAATGTTTAGACAGCCAATATCTTTGCTTCGGTGCGTCCTGGGTTGAATGAATTGGAAGTCGTTTTATCGGTTCTAAAGCCGTTACGTTAAGTTTTAAATAGCAAATGCTTTGACGATATTCCGCATTCATCCATATCGCTTGTATATCATCTTCTCTCTTTACGATAAAGAATAAGTTTCTCGGGATATTTAGGATTCTGACCTAATTTATTGTTTGTTGTCGCTACATTTGGTCAGTTTTCTGCCATTGCTAATATTTATTCTTAAAGTTAAAACATGCTTGGTAGGCTCGATGGTGCTGTGCATTAGTCTTTATTGTGGGATTCGCTTGAGGCGATTAAATGTACTCGCTTAATGTTAAGGTTGAAATTGTGTTCTCTAGTAGATCTTGGTATAAAATCGTTCGTTTTTCGACCAATGACCATTTCGATTATTTCAATTCCTTAATTTCCACATTTTTATTCTAGTTATTTTCAAGTCTCGGTTTTTTTCCTTGAAGTATTCTAGTTATCATCTCGATGAATTATTTTGACAGATGCGTATATGCCAAAAATTCTGATACTAACCCATCTTTACGAACACGAATACCGTAGCTCTCATTCACTATAATTAATTCAGATCTGCTCCCCCATTCCCCTTCGTGCCACTTCTTGGGGGCATTAATTAAAAGACCGCCAGTTACAGTTATCAATATATTTATTAACGGTGAATTCGCTTGACATTTTCTTTACTTTCTAATTTTTCGCTATTTCTATGGAAATAACGGAAATTTTTGCTCGCTTGGCAGGCAATGCTACATGTTTTCCTCTATTCATTTTATCGATACTTCTGTAACTCGGTCACTAACTAGTCTGTGAAGTCGGTCTACAGATCCTAAATATATCACGTATATTATTCCATCTCAATAAATATTAAAACGTAATCCGTAATTCTGAAGTAGAGATTATTACTGCCTCTTTAGTGATTTACTGCATCAGTGTCCCCGAGCTGAGAGAGTTAAGGTCGGCATTGACACCCAATTATTATAGCACAATTCTTTGTTCTATTCTCTTTTTATTCATTGTCTTACTCCTTGTGACGGTGCCACAGTTCGGATCTCTTAAGTTTAAGGTTTAATAATTTTGTGCTATTAAGCGTTGTATGTTATAAGCACGGTATTTAGCGAATAATAAACTATCGGCACATTAAAAATCTTTCATTATCAAGTGGAAATCTTTTTGGGCGTGTGTGGGTGTGTTTATGAATATTATTTTAAAATAACTTGACGAGGCGAAACTTTTGCAAATAAATCACTTGACTTGTAAAAAAATATTTAAACACAATCAATTTACTTTCAGTTTAAATTTGAATTTTGAGGTTTCAAAAAATTTAGTACTGAATATGGTTGTTCCGTTTAAACATGACTCGCCATGAAGCTCAACCATTATGGGTATTAATTGTAATAATTTAGCAATTCGTTCGGTAGTTTCCGCACGAATCTAAGCTGCAAGAATTTTTTAATCGTAAAAAGCCAGAAAATTTCTGCCGTGAGATCTAACGACAGCATGAATTATTAGAAACTATAATTTTGAAGAAGAAATAAACCACGAAAATTTACTTCATCTTCATTGAAAATCTTTGGTCTTCGAAACTTTTTCTGTGAAGATATGGTGAATCTAAATTGCGATTTTTCACTTTTAAATTCTCGGTTTATTAAATTAATTAATAGAGAAGATGCATAAAACTTGAGTTGCGAGACGAGGAGTGACTTCCGCAAAATTCCTGTGATGGATGCATATGATGGTTGTAATTAACAATAAATGGTCCTCTTGAGAAAGAAATGTGTATCGTTCATTTTATTATGAAAGAAATGTATATTGTTCATTACATTTTTCAGTTTGACAATTTATTTGTGATTGCTTGCTTCAGAACCCTCATTCGCTGAAATTTTTGTTCCAAAGCTGATTAAATTAATACAACGTTCTTAACTGAGCCACTTAGGTTCATACTGCATCTTAATTGGCGTAGTTATTGGTAAAAATTGTAATTTTATAGAAAATTTCCCCTAATTAGGTAATCGGGAGATCATTTCAATAATCAGACAGATCCGTGGCTCTGTCTTGGAGGCGCTATGATTATTTATTTATTTTTTCTAATATGTTGATATTATTTCAATAATGAGACACCGGATTCACGGCTGTGTTGTGGAGGCGTTACGTTTGTTTATTTCTTCGAATTTGTTGATATCAATTCAATAATGACACACATGATTCGTGACTGTGTTGTGAAGGTGTTACGATAGTTTTTTTTAATATGTTGATATCAATTCAATAATGAGACACCGGATTCACGGCTGTGTTGTGGGGCGTTACGATTGTTTATTTCTTCGAATTTGTTGATATTATTTCAATAATGAGACACAGGACGTAAATAATAATTTTCAATGATGAGACGTGACTGTGTTGTGGAGGCGTTACGATTGTTTCCGATTGTCGTCAGGCACGTGAAGCACGGCAAGTCTGTAAGCCGTCACGTAGCCTTGGTTACGCTACAACAACACACGCGTAACATGGCACTTGCCTCAGTTTCGGCTTGGTGCTAGTTACGGACAGCCGTATTTGCTGTATATCTAGCGCGAGTTCCTCGAAAAACGACGTTACTTCATCTAGAATACTTGATATAAATTAATTTATTAGACAGAATCATAATATATGTTAGTTTATAGCCACGAATTCTATTAATATGGAGTTCAAAATATGAATGACGTTTATAAATAAATTTGTGACCAATACTGTTACGTGTTATGAACTAATTCTCGGTAGCGCATTGACGCATTTTGCACAGCGAGGTGCAAATAAAGCTGATATTTTGGTCTTCTGCATCAGTCGTGGATGATGGCTCGTGATGCAGATGGACGGCGTCAGCGCATCAGTTTGTAATTCCTAAAGTCGTGTTAAAAAAACAATTTCTTATTACCTTACTAAAATTGAGCTATTCGGGATTTCTTAAGCCATTCTAATCATTAATGACTTCATTTGGAACCGTTTTAAATGATTTTAGTTCTAATAAATAGATAATAAATGTGGATTGGCCCTGCTACAAGCCTTCCGGCTGACACTTGAAATTACAAGTGCTTACAATCACTATTATAAAAAAATTAGATCAGTACTCACTGTAGTGATTGACAGAGAGCGCATTTTCGAGTCCGCCCCAGACGTGAAGTCGCGGGCGTACGTCACGGACGGACGGTCATGACGAGCACAATAGCGCTTTTTTTCCATAAATGAGAAAATGTGCTAAAAAGCATTTCAGTATCATCATCATCATTATGGTCCAAACGCTCATTTTCTTTCTTTACTGGACATAACTGCGCACGAGGAGACTGGCTTCACATATTTGCATGGGCTTCATAACTTACAATGACGAAGTAAATATATATTTTAAAATTCGGTTAGTAAAAATATGTTTTGCAATTCGGTTTGTATTTGGTAATTATAAATTTTTTAATTCAATTTATATTTAGTAAATATATATTTATTGGTCCTTTTAAACCCAGTAAATGCGTCATAATAGAAAATGTATCAGGGAACTGAAAATGGCAAGTACGCTTTACAATAGTCACACATGCTATAATATAAATAATAAACCATAACACTTTTCAAAATATAAATATTTCTGAAACTCTGGCAACGTAATTAAATTGAGAATCATTTATTATTTTCATTTGATTATATTAAATTTCAACTGAATAATAAAAGATGAAGCATTCATTGCTTCAATGGCTTCACAAATTCTGACACCTATGCATACTGGATATTCACATTTATAATTGTTCCCTTGTTTCGTTTACCGTTATTTTTTGTGTATGTCCCCTAAATTATGCCATATATTAGCCACAATGTTTTATTTCATGAGGTTTTCTAACGATAATTCGTTGCGAAAAATTTTTTTTCCATATTACATTACATAAGCTGCTACTAGCGATGCAACAAACGATTACGTACTGCAGTACATCACCTGCAGTTAGTGATTCAAAAACCTTTTCATAATTCAGTACATCACTTGTACTTATTGATGCAAAAACCGTTGTAATACGACAGCACATCACCTGCAGTTAGTGATGCAAAATTTTTTCGAAATGTTTTTTTTTTTCAAAATAAACACGTTTTTATTGCGTTATATAATCTTCTTTTCTTTTGTTTGCAAGCAGGATTTTGCAATATCTTTTAATTTGTGAATAACGAGACGTTATTTCTACGAGCGGACACTTAAGCTTGCTTTAGTCTGTATAACAACGGAAATTAAAATTGAAAAGAAATTAAATATGAGTGTATATTCTAAGCATTTCATCTGCAGTTCCTTTTCACTTGGCTGCAGATAGAAATAAAATCGACATTATCATATTTTCTTCCCATAACATCGTGCTGCCTCAATGCACCATAATTGCTTATTGAACTTGCTGTAGTTCAGAATGAGGAGGCAAGAGTAAGGGTGAGTGGGTGGATTGCAAAAAATTTGTTGTGAGTTTGTCTTAAGAAGCAAATGAGGCTGTGAGTGAGAGTGTAAAAGATATATGGAGTACTCATGGAATCAGAAAAACATATAACTCAGTACTCACTGCAGTGAGTGACAGAGAGCGCATTTTCTCGTCGCAAAAACTTGAGGTCACGGACGGACGGACAGACGGACGGACGGACATGGCGAGCACAATAGTGTCGTTTTTCCATAAATGAGAAAATGCGCTAAAAAGGAGGAGTGATAAAGAATTTCGTTTGTTTGTTTTATGGGTCAAGAATAAATAAAATTAATAAATAGTTTAATTTAACTATGGATGTGTGTTCATTGTTTAATTAAATAATATTTATCTCTTAGAAAGAGATATTTATTATTGTCCATCTTTAACATGTTTGAACGTGAAACTTTACTTGGAAGAATGAGAATTTTATTGAGTTACAAAGTTATCCGAAACTCTAGGACAGTATGAAACTCGAAATTATACTTTTTCATATTTTTTACATTTAAATAACGCCTTTTAAATGAAAAAGATTATCATGATATTATCTTGATATTAACTTCCTCAATTGAAGACTTGAAAAGACTGGCTATCATCGAGCCACATTTTTCATCAAAAACCGTTCTACTTGAGTGATTCACAAAAATTTCCTGTCTTGTATTTCGTGCCAATCAGGAAAAGGGCGGGAAGTATTTCATATGAAATGCAAGGCCATGAAATTTTGTGTCCCGCTTAGTCAGTTGTCATAATGCATTGGACAAGTGAGCAGCGTGCGTTTCCTGTCGAGGCGTACATTTCTGATGGCCATTCCATTATCGCTACTCAACGAGCGTTCCGTATTCGTCCTTCAGGTCGGGTTCCTGATCGGAAATCGATTGTTACGTGTGTGAACACATTTAGGGTAGGTTAAAGTTGAATGCTATAGAGTCTGGAGGTCAGCAGACTGCAAAGACACTTGAAAAAGTAGATAGAGTTATAGAGAGGTGTTTCTGCGTTCTCTATACCGTTCAATACGCAAACATGCTGCTGTTCTGGGAATTCCGAATAGCAGTGTGGTACGAATACTCCACGAAGAAATTCAATTTCATCCCTAAAAATTGATTGTTGCACAAGAACTCAGCGAGAACAATTTCATTTCTCAGCGAAATTCATGCTAAGCGCTTTTTGAGAACTTGCTTCACGATGCAGTCGTTTTCTTTATAGTGATGAGGCTCACTTCCACATTTCCGGCAACGTAAACAAGCAAAACATGCGTTAATGGAGTGATAACAATCCGCGTGAAATCCATTAGTGTCCAATTTATTGTAAACGCGTAACTGTGTGGTATGCGGTGTCAAAAGTCGGCAACATTGGCCCTTATTTCTTGGAAGAAAATGATCTTCTGATACAACATTTTGCTGAGCGCCTCATCTCCTTAAGAGGTGAACTTTTTTGACCTTTTCGATCCCCCGATTTAGCTACGTTTGTTTTTTTATGGGGTTATCTTAAATCAATTGTTTACAATGACTGTCCAAAGACCCTACCTCATTTGAAGAGCAACATACGCCAAGCCATCGCCAACATACCCGTCAATATTGTTGTTGTTATTGACCTTCCCCGCCTCGCTTCACAGCGCGAGGCGGGGCCTAAGCCCAGTTAAAAAAACATGGGCTTCGGGTCCCCCTTTCGGAGGACGGGGATAAGTTGGCTGTCG